GGTCTATTCACTAAGCTTCCGAGGGCAGCCGAGTGAACAACCGACCCCAAGTGAAGTGAGCCGAACACTGTTCGGCTATTCACTTCAGGCTTGTATGGCTGATTTCAGCCGTATATCGGCTGAAATCAGCCGTACATCGGCTTGCTTCGCATGGCTTCGGGTTGGCCGAACATGCTCAGCATGTCTGTTGGTCCTAGTCTGTTGATCCAGTAGTTACTTTAGTCTACCACTTAAAGGATTGTGCACCAACCTGGATGTTTTTAAGCCCTAAAACTCTCTCCCTGAAGTTCTAAAATAAAGTTCCTTCAGCATTATAACAATAGTCTGGGTCTCCACTTTATCGGTCGCCACAGAGTGCTATTGGGGAAGCCAGGTGGCTAAAATCCCGGGACATACTATGGAAGACCCATTGATCCAGCGGCTCCTTCGGGGGTGAGCACTACACGTGGGGGTTTCTCACCTTGGATCATCCTAGCCATTGTGTGAATTGTGTGCTGTGGTAACCCATAGCAACAGCCTCTGAGACCAAGGAATTTGTGCTGAACTGTGCTATGTTGGGGCTACAATCAACAATATCAACTCAGAGACTGTGCTGTTAAGAACTGTTAAAACTACAATTAGACCTAGGTGCTAGGATGAAGGAAAGGACCTCCACGGTAGTTTTCTCAGAGATACTGCCGGTGCCAAGAGCCACTCCGGACAGACAGCACGAGTTGAGGGAGCTTAACAAGTGGCTCCGGAGCTGGTGTCAGAAGGAAGGTTTTGGTTTCCTGGAGAACTGGGCTGACTTCGCAGTCGGCTATCGGCTCTTCAGCCGAGACGGGCTGCATCTTAATGGGAAAGGTGCAGCATTCCTGGGAGGGAAAATGGTAGAAAGACTGGAGGAGCTTTTAAACTAGAAAGTGGGGGGAGGTTGGACTTGATGGACTAATGTCTTTATTCAACCTCAAATACTATGTAACTATGTAACTATGTAATTCCCCGGAGGCTTTGCATTCAGCAGGAGGAGTGAACTGCACCAGGTTTTCTGAGCTTAGACAGCAGAGAGGTTTCAGGCAGAGCACACATATCGTTCTGTGCTGCTGGTGATTGTGACGCAGGAAGCCATAAACCCTGTAAGGATTTGCCTTGCTCTCTGTCAGGTTTTCGCTGCAAGCCTGGAGAGAGACCTTACTTGGTCTGCTTTGCCTGGTGACTCCTAATTCATTGTCCCCACTGAGAGACCCGCATAGAGGGTAACTGCGGCCTGGATGAACGGTCGGATCCTGTGACCGGAATACCAGTTGTGACACGACCACCCAAATACTGCTGAGTGACTCCCAGAGAAGATGTACAACTGCTACCAGTGACTGGGACCTGCCATCCTCTATATAGCAATGGCTATGAGGACCAAGGAAAGTCAGCTGGAGAACGTAAGGATGCCCTCTCTTCGCTGACCAACTCAGGAGCTGCTAGTCGAGCCCTGAGATTGGTGACAGGCCATTGGCCACTGCATTACTGTACCTCAGATACCTTTAGAAGCTGCACATTGGGCCCCATCGTTGGCTAACCACAGTTACTTCAACTGGACTGTGGGTTAGGGACCCGGGTCTATTGAGACTGGTATTTAATCCCTATAGCCTGTGAACAGTGGAGATAACTGCATTAGTTAACATAGTTCTGCTAGCTGTAATGTATAGACAGCCGCAGCAGACATTTGCCCAAATACCTAAAGCAATACTATTTTATGCACTGTCAATTGCTATTATTTTCTGTTCATGTTTATATTGATTTAGTGCAATTGTTGTTTAGTAAAACTGTGCAAAAACCCCACAAGGTATGTTGGTGTGCTGTGAATCCTGTCTGGGTGGTAGATCCTAGTTTGGGGACAGAAGACCTCGTGTATTCCAGCAGCTCTTTCGGGGGTGAGTACCACATAGTGCTTTAACCCCTTCGTGACGGGAGACATACACTGTACGTCCAGCCACAAAGGGACCAAATGACTTTAGGAAAGACCGTTCCTGTCAGACTAACCTGCTAACTTTTTACGAGGGGGTAAGTAGAGATCTGGATGGAGGGAGGTCTGTGGATGTGGTATATTTGGATTTCGCTAAGGCTTTTGATACGGTACCTCATAAACGCTTACTTCACAAGCTAAGAGCTATGGGCATAGATGGAAGGGTGTGTACATGGATAGAGAACTGGCTAAAGGAACGGGTACAGAGAGTATCAATAAATGGCGCCCTTTCAGACTGGGCTAGTGTTATTAGCGGTGTGCCTCAGGGTTCTGTGCTGGACCCGATGCTTTTCAACCTGTTTATCAACGACATCGGGGACGGAGTAAACAGCGATATCTCAGTGTTTGCTGATGATACCAAAATTGGGAGGGTAATAGAAACAAACCAAGATAGTATAACTTTACAAGAGGATCTGGATAAAATAGGGGAAAAAAAAACAAAAAATAAAATAAAATAAGGGACAAATAAATGAATGTATTTATTGCATTTTTTTAGCTGTGCTGGTTTTGTAAAAAAAATACTACAAATCAAAACTGGGAAAAAAAGTGTTTTTTTTAAACGTTTTTTTCCTCTTTTTTTTATATTTTATTTGTCCTAAGTGAGGCGTTAGACACACATGTGATATAAATATGTAGCCCTATCTGTCCTCTAAAAAACAATATATAATATGTGTGGGTGCACTTTGTAAGAAAGTATATTACTGACGTGGAAGAATCACACAGCAAAAATGTCAAAAGTGTGTCAGTCATTTACGAACAGAAACTAAAAACAAGCTCAGTCATGAAGGGGTTAACAAACTTAATTTCATTTAGTTAAGGTTTAGATCTACAAAAAAAAAGATGTATGGGGGGGGTGGCCAGCAGCCGCATGTAGTCGGACGTGTGCCGGAGAGCTCTCCCGACATTGATCCTGAACATTACCAGCTGGGCTTACCCGAACTCACCTCTCCTTCGCTGGCTGACTGCCTAGGTGTCACAGATACCTGCAATCTACTTTTTGAGTCACGGGACTCCACTTTACACCGGGGCGATGTCTAAGAAGGACGTTAAGGGCCTCAACCCTGTGGCCCAAGATGGCGACGGCACGCACAACATGCTTTCCACTCCTAACAAGCAGACAGGAGACAGAAGCAGGGATACGGCGGCGTGGCTGGAGCGCTTCACCCGCCATCCTGACACCCCAGCTAAGGAACAGAGACTTTCCTATTTGGGAGATCTTGCCTCCCGCAGGGAACTGGTGCCTGACCCTCCGCATTCCTCTGCATTCGACTGGGACAGTCCAGACGCATCTGTGGTGCCTGTGAGTACAGCTTCTAAGACCACCAAGGGCCCCAAAGCAGCTAAGGCCAAATCCAAATCGGCTGAACCCACCATTGCTGATGTTTTCTCAGCTGTGCAGCTCTGCAATTCCACGCTGACCTCTCTAACAGATCAGGTACAGGGGATGAGAGCTGATATCTCCTTTATACGCCATGATTTGCAAAAAGTGTGGGAACGCACATCTGCCCTGGAAGGTAGAGATAGTGATCTGGAAGATTCTACATCTCCTCTGCTTGCTGATGTCAAAACGGCATTACATGATATATCTGCAAATACCCTGAAAACGGACGACATTGAAAACCGGTTTACGCCGTAATAACATCCGTGCTGTCGGCATACCAGAGCGTATTGAAGGGGCCAATGCTACTGACTATATTGAAACCTGGCTGTGTGAGGTCTTTGGGAAGGAATACCTGTCCCCTTTATTTGCTATGGAAAGAGCTCATAGAGTTCCATCTCGCCGGCTACCGCCTGGCAAACCTCCTAGGCCTCTGCTGATCCGGCTGCTCAATTATCAGGACAAGGAACGTATATTGCGGAAGGCACGTGACCTAGGAGAGATCTCTTTGGCCGGCTCTAAGATCATGCTGTTCCCTGATTTCTCCCAGGAAGTTCAATGACGCAGAGCGAAATTTCTGGATGTTAAGAAGCGGCTCCAACGCCTACCCCTGTCGTACTCCATGATCTACCCTGCGAGGCTCCATGTGATTGCTGATGGAGAAACACAGTTTTTTGATAACCCCTCTCAAGCTTCGTCCTGGCTAGATAAGTTTGACTGCCGCCGAGGCTCTTCTTACACTTGAGTGCTCAGCTTTGCTCATTGAATTAGTTTCTTCTTCTGATCCTCTGTTCGGTTACCTAATCGTACCAGCTGCAAATGGGTGAAGAACTCCCCCCTCTATGTTTCTGGCATTGCCACACTGGATGGGGTGCCTACTGTTTTTTGTTTTGGGATGCCTCTAGTGGCATGGACTGTTGCCACTCTTCCCCAAAGATTTCTCTGCGTGGACCGTGTTACCACTGTTTTTTGTTTGCTGTTCCTATTTTACCTAAATTTTTCATTTTTTCTCTTTTTGTTTGGTTTGACTCTCTACCGACAAGACCCACTGTGTTTAGCCACACCTTATAGAGGCCTTCATAGGTGATTTCTGTTATGTATACCTAATGCTGGTTTCTCCCTATTGTCGTATGTTATACCTTGCACATGTCTGACCACTTAATTACGCTAGTCTCCTGGAATGTTAGAGGTCTGGGAGATGCTGCAAAGAGACGTTCTGTTCTTGACTGTATTCTTCGTGTTAAGCCATCTGTTATCTGTCTGCAGGAGGCGCATCTGACTATGGACACCTCTCGTGCTCTGAGCAGACACTTCTGCCAAGCAGCTTATCATTCCTGCTATTCATCTTATTCTAGAGGAGTCTCCATTCTTGTTCATAAGAACTTGCCCTTCTCCTGTACACAGATAAAGGCGGATGCAGCGGGACACTATGTGTTTCTTCATTGTCGTATCTTAGAGTTAACCTGTGTTATTGCCTCTATTTATATCCCACCGCCATTCTCCAATGCTGTGCTTAAATATCTAGCTAATTTTTTGGCAGATAAACTACCGATCCCTGTTCTAGTGGTAGGTGACTTTAATGGAGTGTTGAATACGCATATGGATAGATTCCCTCACAATATAGCCATGGACTCTGCACCCACCACTCCTCTCAGCAAGAGAATGACGTTCGCTCCCTCTGCGCCTGTTGGTGTGGTTTGGGATACGTTGAAGGCCTATCATCAGGGCAGCCATCAGGGGGGTATGGCCGATACTCATGTAAGGGGCCCGGGCAGCCTGGGGGGCCTGCCTGGGTCCCTTACATGACCATCGGCCGACGTTGAAGGGCGAGGAGGCGGAGGCCTGGCCCTAGCAGCGCAGGGCACCAGCATTGCCGCTCCAGCGCTTTCGAGACAAGATGGGCTGTGCAGCATCTATGGTGGGCTCTGCAGGGTCACTCTCAGGTAGGTCCTGTGTCCAGCGCGTCACTAAGCTCTGCATCCAGCGCGTCACTAAGACCTGCATCCAGCGGCGGGTGGGGGGGGGCCCGGCCTAAAGCCGTGTAAGGGGCCCCAAAATTTCTGATGGCTGCCCTGCCTATCATAGGGGTATTTTCCTTAAAAACGTTAGCTCCACTAAGACCAAGACTAGACGGGAAGTGTCTCAGGCCCGCCAGCTGGTGGCTGATAGTGCAAGGACCTATGTGACCAATCCTACTGCACGCACTGAAACTGAATGGCTGACTGCGCAAGGTTCTCTCAATACCCTGCTGGAGGAGCAATTCCAGAATAAAATGTTTTTTGCCAAGCCGGTCTTTTGGGCGGAGGGGTAAACTCCTGGCTCAGATAACTAGGGCCCAGCAACCTCCACGTTATATTGGTGCTATCTCTGTCTCTTTGGGGGTTACCCATTCGAGTCAGAGAGTGGTGTCCGAAATCTTCTGTGACTTCTATGCTTCGTTATATCAAATGAAGGCTAGCTATTCTGACCCTGTACTTTTGTCATATCTGCGAAGCGTTCCTCTTCCATCCCTCTCACCAGCTGACAGCATGGACCTGGAGGCCCCCATTACCCTGGAGGTGGCAGTAGCTAGCTTCCCTAATGGTAAGGCTCCTGGCCCGGATGGGCTCCCTATTGAGGTGTGTAAAACCTACACTACAACACTTCTTCCCACACTCCTGGAGGCATATAATGATGCATTTTCCTCTGGCTCGCTGCCTGCTACGATGTATGAGGCTATTATAGTGGTATTACCCCAAAAAAATAAAAACCTGTTACTACCGGAATCATATAGGCCTATTTCCCTTTTGAATACCGATGTTAAGATCTTGGCTAAAGTGCTTGCAACTAGACTATCACTCGGATCAGTCCGGCTTTATGCCCAATAAATCCACTGCAATTAATATCAGGGTGTTTCTGAACATGCAGGTCCCCATTGACAACCCGGGTAACAGGGCTTTACTCGCCTTGGATATCGCAAAGGTGTTTGACAGTGTGGAGTGGTGCTATTTGTGGGCGGTGTTATCCGCCTTTGGCTTTGGTCCTAATTATTGCAGGTGGGTGCGCTTATTATACCATCACCCTTCTGCAAGGATAAAGATCAACGATTCCTTGTCCTCTGCCTTTGCTTTACAGAGAGGTACCAGACAGGGATGCCCTTTGTCACCATTACTGTTTGCCCTAGCTGTTGAGCCTCTTGCTGCTTTGGTCAGACACTCCACGGATGTGATAGGTTTCAAACGGGGCATGCTGGAGGAAAAGATTGCCCTGTATGCTGATGACACTCTGCTGTTTTTAGCGGACACAGTGTCCTCTCTGTCTAGTGTTATGTCCCTACTATTGGATGTTGCCACTTACTCGGGTCTGGTTGTTAACTGGGAGAAGTCTAACCTTCTGCCATTGGATCCACTGGGTGTTCCATTGGCTACTGCTATGGCGCACTTACAGATGCGATCCACTATTACATATCTTGGCATACAAGTGTCTACTTCCCCTGGTGACTATCTTACTCTAAACTTGCATCCCCTTTTGACTAGATTTAAATCTCAGCGTAACTCGTGGGTCAGATTACCGATGTCCGTGGCTGGCAGAGCGAACTTGATTAAGATGGTCTGGATGCCTCAGTTGCTCTACGTTCTCCATAATTCCCCCCTTTGGATTCCCAAAAAGAAATTTCACTTAATTGATAGCATCTTTAGGGAACTAGTCTGGAAAATGAAACCCCCCAGATTGCGGCTTGATGCTCTTCAGCGGCCGAAGGCCTCGGGTGGACTTGCCCTCCCTTGTCCATGGTTCTTTTTTCTTGCCTCGCAGCTGCAGCACTTTACAGGCTGGGTGTCTGCGGACCATCAATCACAATCATGCCGTATCCTTCTCTATTTGTTCCAGGGACTAAGTCCTTTACATTACCTGGATAGTGACCTATATAGCAAAATGTATTCTACATTCCCCACCTTGAAGTTGAAGGGGCAGGTCTGGGACGCGGCTAAACTTTGGTTGGGTATTGCTGCCCTAACTAGGTACACGCCGCTGTGGTGGAATGGCCGCCTCCCGGAACTTCTCCCTCTCCGGGGCACTGTTGACTGGTCTAGCAAAGGGGTGGTATCTGTTTCTCAATTATACCGGGAGGGCAGGATACGTGACTTCAAACAGTTGATTACTACATATGGACTCTTCAGTAGGTGCTACTTCCAGTTCTTCCAGATTACTCATGCTCTAAAATCCCAGTTTCAACATGGCCCCCCTACATTCTCTCCCACTCCGATATTTGATACTATACTGTTGGCTGCTAACACCAAAGGGATTATCTCCTTTTTATATGCTCACCTCCTGCTTAAGTCAAATGTTCTTCTCCCTCTGTGGTGCGGGGAGGGTTGCGAGCGTGATGTGGGACCCATAGCGGATGACACCTGGGGGGATGTCCTTCAAGGGGCTACTCAAATTTCATTATCCCCCACTCATAGATTGACACAACTATTTATTATTCACAGAATATATCACACCCCTGAATTTTTGTTCTGTATCGGGCTTAGGGCTGACCCCAATTGTCACAAATATGGTTTCCAGCGTGGCTCCCTGATTAATTTGCTCTGGGGATGCCCTAAGCTGGTTCGGTAATGGGATAAGATCGTTGATACTCTTTTGTTTGCATCCTCCTTAACCAATTCCTCACTGGTGTGCATTCTTGGCATTATTGAATCTGATGAACTTACATATCACACAATTTTGGCCTTTAAGAGCGCCTTATTTACTGCAACCAGGTTGGTGGTCCGTAGATGGATATCCTCCTCCCCACCTACTTTGAATCTATGGCTTGTGGAACATGACAAGATGGTCGCCTATGAACGCGATACCATTCAACAGAGGGGTACCTTGCTCCAGTCCCATTCTCTCTGGGATAGATGGTTGACATACCGAGGCCATGACATTCCTGACTAGGCAGCTCACACAGCTACATACTGTTGTTACATATGGCTTGATTTATTTCCTCTACTACGTAAGCATTTGGTCATGTTTGAAGGTTTTGGCTAATTGTACTGCGCTAATACAGGTGAAACTCGAATAATTAGAATATCGTGCAAAGTTCATTTATTTCACTAATGCAACTTAAAAGGTGAAACTAATATATGAGATAGACTCATTACACGCAAAGCAAGATAATTCAAGCCGTGATTTGTCATATTTGTGATGATTATGGCTTACAGCTCATGAAAACCCCAAGAACCCCAAATCCACAACCTCAAAAAAGTAGATTATTACATGCAATCAATAAAACAAGGATTGTACATAGAACAATATCGGACCTCTGAAAAGTACAAGCATGCATATGTACTCAGTACTTGGTTTGGGCCCCTTTTGCAGCACTTACTGCAATTACGTTTGCACGATATTCTAATTATTCGAGTTTCACCTGTATGTGGTATTTCCGCAATGTTCTCGATATAGCTCCTACTCAATGTGCCTTCCTGTTGGTTGACGGTTCATTCTTGTCAAATTTTGCTATGTGCATGATTTTTTAGTTTTAGTTTTTTGTTTGTTTGCTCTCTCTGTATTTGAAACTATGCAAAATCAATAAAAACTATGAGTTTAAAAAAAAAAGATGTATGGTGCAACAGGTGCAAAGGAAAGGTCCCATCAACTTTTGGTTAATTAAGTACATTTATAGATTCGAATCTTCAGATGATCTGCTTTATTATTCTTGAGGTTTGTACTGTAGAAAATAACCTCAAAGAGTTTTTTATAGTGAACTCTAATGCTTTTCATCTACATTAATATTTTAGGTGTGTTGACGCTTTGCCATCTATTAAACTAGGAGGACTGCCTTGTAGTAATGTCAGAAATCCAAGCTCATAAGACACAATTACAGGGTCTTAGTCAAACATCAAAGTGACCAAACCCAGTTCTATGAGTGTATAAAAGGTCCCACAAGCCATGTGCTGTGGATATACAAGGAATTGTTCACATCTCACAGCACTATCAAATCTAAAATAACATAATATTGGCTCTCTGATTGCTAGAAACATGTCTCATCAATCTCATCATTCTACCCACAGCAGCTCTGCACTCAGAAATTTCAGCTCCTCCTCAGCTTGTTTACCATCTCTGAGCAAGCACAGCATCAACTCTGTCTCCACAAAGAAAGTATCCATCGGCCACAAGGTCTATCCAAGTTTTGGTAGCAAAAGTGTGTACAGTGTCATCTCTGGAGGACATAAGATGTCGGTTGGAGGAGGTCACTCAAGATTTGGACATGGCTATGGACATAGTTTTGGTGGATCTTGCAATGCAGGCATTGTCCCTGTTACTGTCAACCAAAGTCTACTGGCACCTATGAACCTGGAGATTGACCCAAATATCCAGAGAGTGAGATCTGATGAAAAGAACCAAATCAAGGGACTCAACAACAAGTTTGCCACTTTCATTGACAAGGTAAATGAAACCGATTAGAATCTAATTAATTTCTCATGTCTTAAAAATAGAATATCATGTAAAGGTATACAGATGTTCTGCTGAATCCAGACATATTAATACCATACTCTTATATAAACAGAGTAGTTAAAATGTATAAAGTGTAACCTGAGTAAATAGTAGCTCATGAACCACTTGTGGACAAGATAACTTGTGGCAAGATTCCAGTTGTGTATTAGATTCCTGTCATGAACATAAAGCTAAGAAAATGTAGTCCAGTCTATATCCTTTTACTAAACTGCTCAACATTTGAGCCTCTTTTTTTGTGCTAATCGTTAGTAATCTTGACGGCATTTGTATTTGATTAACAAGATGACATAAGTTCAGGACTTAACCTCTCTAGAGCCAGCTGTGCCCATCCCCTTCCCAATCTTATTTTTTTTTATTTGTCCTAGTGACCAGTTTCACTGGGACTGAGCATGATGGATACTGTTTTTTTGTGAGAACATCAAAACAGAAATAGAAGGGAAATGTATTATTTGGGGCATCTGTTCAGATGAAAACTGTGTAAGAAGAGATTTCCTTCACTTTGGAAAGATTTCCTCTCACTTCCTAGTGTGTCTACAGCAGGGGTGCCCATTAGGTAGATCGCAAAGCGAACACTGGTAGATCTCGATCGACTCACTGACCTGTGTCCTGTCCTCCCGCGGTGCTCGTGCGGCTAAATGTGTTAGACGCTGCAGACGGGAAGGAGAGAGGAGAGGAGACTTGGGAAGCTGCTGCAGTGGAGATAAGAAAAGACAGACAGGAGAGAGACAGCAGAGAGAGAGAGAAGAGACAGCAGATAGAAACAGGGGAGAGAGAGAAGAGAGGGCCGGTTCACACACCACAAAGTCTGCGTTCGGCCTCTAGAACGCATTGGAACACAAGCCAGCTGGCTCCCTGCGTTCAGGGGAGGGGGCATGGCGGTGCATTGAAGTCAATGGCACCACAGCCATGCCCCGCACCCTCAGTGTGATCACCCGCACCCTGAACGCAGGCACATTAATGCCTGTGTTCCGGTCCAGCGCAATCTGCAAAGATGCAGCATTTTTGCAGATCGCACTGGACCGGAATGCAGGCACTAATGTGCCTGCATTCCTGGTGCGGCGATTGCACTGGGGGCATGGCTGCGGTGCCATTGACTTCAATGCACTGCCACGCCCCCTCCTGCCCTGAATGTAGGTGTTTTTTCATAGGTAGATCTCATTGAGCTCGTCATTTGAAAAGTAGATCTCCAGACGAAAAATTGTGGGCGCCCGTGGTCTACAGGATAGGAAGTGAAGGGAAATCTGTTAAATGGAAACAATTGACAAAAAAACCCCCTTAAAGTGGCTTTAAATACTTTGTCTATACAAAATGCAACCTGCTGAATAGACAATGCAGGAAGAGCACCACACTAATAAGTCCCATCAGCTCTGCTCATTGCATATGACAATATTTTGGAGCATCTTTGTAAGTGATGTTCTTAAAATATTCTACAATAACAAAAGTAATGGTGATCTTATGCAGCAGAAACTCTGAGATACACATCTTGCCTTCACCCTGAGGCCTGGTTCACACCTGTACGTTTTGTAGCGCGTTCAACGCTCTATGAACGCTCTACAAAACGCTCAAACATGAAAATCCCATTGTTTTCTATGGGTATGGTTCACACCTTGCCCTATTTCAGCCCGTCTGAACGCGCTACAAAAAGGCCTACGCCTGAAAAGGTACATGAGCTTCTTTGCTGCGTTTTTATTGCACGTTTCCATTGGGATACAGCCAAGTAGCCCTCGGTAAAAACGCGAGTCACGTAACGCGCAACAAACGCGCATATTCGATACGCCTAGGTATGAACAGAGCCTGAGGTACATGGTCTTCTGAATTCCTGCTGGTTAAGAATATGTAAATATATGAATGTGCTTAACCTGGCGGCAGTTCTACTCTAAAGAGGAACTCAGGACAATTTTTTTTCTTTGGGCAGAGTGGGAAATGGTTAGGACCTCTGTAAATGTTCTATTGCTCTCTGGGTATATGTTTGTGAGATTTGAGAGAGAAAGTCATTAAAGGAGAACTATGAGGCGAGTGAAAATCACTCACCTCATAGTTCTAGCTGATCTGTGACAATGAGACTGTCACAGGTCGGCTCAATAGATCGGGAAGTGAGCGAACACATACCGTCGCTCGCTCACTTCTCAATCCTGTCCCTGCAGAGAGCTGTGACTGTCACTTACGGCTCCCTGCAGGGATTCCCCCCTCCCCTGTCCGATCCTCCAGCGCTGACCGGCGGAATGGACGGGGAGGGGGCAGGTTCAGCTGGCTTTGCCTCTAGACGCAGTTGGGTGGATCTCGACAGTGATGTCAGGATCCGTCCCGGCTGCGGCGTCTCAGTATACCCAGGCCCGGATTCCCCACAAGGCCACCGAGGCCCAGCCTCTGGGCGGCAGGGCGCAGAGGGGCGGCAGCGGTGTCCTTGTGGGGAAGTTGCCCTCTATACATTTAGTCCTGCTTTTTACAAGCAGGACTAAATGTAGAGTGAGGCAGCCGATTTTTCGTTTACATGTGAACTCGGCGATGTTGCCGAGATCACATGTAAACAGTGTGCAGCCGGTCCGTCCGTCCTCCCCTTCCCCCTGCACTTACCTCTCTCCTTTGGTTCCGTCCTCCGCCGCCGAATCCCGAGTCTCTGACTGCAGTGAGCAGAGCGGC